CTTAACTCAATAGACTAAAGGGACCAAATTAAAAATAATAAAAACAGGAAAACTATAGATCTGAACCGCACAGTTAGCACTCTTGATCTTACGTAAAGTACTGAACCCCAGAACTAGATGACACACTCTTTTCAGGAGCCACTAAACACTTACAAAGACTGGCCATATATTGTTTCTTAATGAATATCAAAAAATAGAAATCATCAAAATATGTCTGCAGAATGCAGTTAATGTAGAAATCGATTACAAAAATAACAAATAAATAAATAAATAACTAGAAAACCTCCATGTTTGGAAATTAAGAAATACGCCTGTTAGAACACAGAAGGGAATGAAATCCGGGGCCCAAATGGAAGACCGCGTTAGCGACGAGGAATTCCCTTTCTTCTTAACGCACCTCAATCCGGCAGTGGTCCCAGCGCCCCCTAGTGCAATTGTGGGTTAAGTGCAAGCCTAATGAATCACCGAACTGCTCAGAAATGGTTCCAAGTGGTGGGAGGGCTCCAAGCTTGTTCACTTTGTTACTTTCATCAACTCTGTGGCAGAATCTCCAAATTGAACTCTGTGTAGGTCTCCGTTTTTCTCACATAGATACTCCTCACTCTCTCCAAATTATAGGCCCATAACTGAGTGGCAGTGAGCGAGATTAACCTCCTCCACCAACTAACTTCTACTCAGGTGAAGGTCTAGATGTTTCGGTCCCACGAGTAACTAGAAACTGAAATTTTATTTCACAGGAATAAAAGCTGCATGCAGAAAGAGCCATGGATCCCATCTCTGCTCAAAAGTTAGGAAATGGCAGGCACCATGTGGTTAGAGCCATGGTTCTCCTCACAGTGGCTTAAATGGTAGTGCAAGCCCCAAGTTCAAGGCCAGTGGTCTCTTCCCAGAGACGGAGAGGTAGTCAAAGGGCCTATCAGGATTACAACGGAAGTTTCCTCAACATGAAATATACTTCCTGCCCTGGCTGGTGGGGCTAAGTGGATTGAGCGCTGGCCCGCAAACCAGAAGGTTGCTGGTTCGATTCCCAGTCAGGGTACATGCCTGGGTTGCAGGCCAAGCCCTCAGTTGGGGGTGCATGAGAGGCAACCAACCAATGTATCTCTCACACATTCATGTTTCTCTCTCTCACTCCCTCCTCTCTAAAAAATAAATAAAATCTGAACAAAAAAGGAAAGAAATAGCCTTCCCATAGGCAGAAGCCATTCCAGGCCACAGATGGCTGGTTTTCAGTCTTTCAGCCCAGGAAGCACTCTGCCTGCTCCTCTTCTTTCTCCAATGAAATCAAAGCAGGCAAAACAGATGGAACTGGGAGCAGGGAGGGCCCTGGAGCCCCACGCTCTCGGCCAACCCCGACCACCACCAACAAGTCTGCCCACAGACGTTTTAGCCTGGGCTTTTTAAAAGTATGTGTAACCAAATACCCATCTCAACCATTTAAATAAAAAAAACAAAAACCCTTGAGAAAGTCTCTGCAGAATGTCTGGCTTTGAGCAAGGCAACTTCCTGGTACCCCTTCCAAAGCAAACCTGATATAAAATGTATCCAGAGCTCCTGGGTGAGGTAACCAGCTGCTTGGATCTGTTTTAAAAAAAAAAAAAAATAGTGACTACTGGTGACACTAGTAAAACAGTCGCCATACAGCCCTTTCTCTGGGAATTCATGAGTCCTCAGAGACCGGTCAAGTCCATCCTGTTTTGGGACAACAAAACCCTTTGATCTGTGGAGAGAATCTTACGTATTTTTTGATTGACTTGCAAACACTGAATCTAAAACAGTCCCAAGTCAAATAACAATGCATTAAAAAGGAAGAGAAAGGAGACGGGTTATTATCTTTGCCCTCTACATCTACAGGATCCAGAATTTTCTTCACTGGTATGATTCAACGCGATGCTGTCAGTCAGAGGTAGATGCTGTTCACAACAACCCAAGGCAGGGCTGTTTTGAACCTTTGTGTGGCCCCGGCTCTTACCAGTCACCACAGAGGGACATGCTCTGCTCACAGCAAACATATCCAAATGCACCCAACTGTCTACAGTACATTCTTCCTGTTTAAATGCATATCCAAATGCACCCAACTGTCTACAGTACATTGTTCCTGTTTAAATGAACTGCAGAGCTTTGCTTTTGAAATAACTACCCCATTTGAGTACACAGTTTTGTTGTTGCTCCTATTTTGGATCTGAGAACTTTCACTTCAGGTCTGGGACATCTCGGAGACTCTGGAACGTTCTCGGAGCCCCATGCGCTGCCATGACTTCGAGAGCCTATTGGATAAATCAGCCCCAGTCTGTGAAGCTTCCTGTGGGGCTTCCTGGGAGGAAAACGTCAAGAACCATATTTGTCCTGTTAAATGATGTCGTCTCTGTGGAGACCCAAGGGGAAAATTCCTCTCCGGTTTTGGTACCAAGAGCAGCGTGCTTCTCCTGTTTTTTCCTGTCCTGTGCGGCCGTGACTCACAGTCGTGACCGTGTGGCCCTCTTCACACTGGCTACCAGACGGCTCAGAAAACGAGCGTGCCATTTTGTGCCCTAAGCTCGCTCACAGGTCCTCCTATTTCCTACCCTCACTTTCCCTTTGCCTCCTTTCTTCTCATTTATCTTACACTTATTTGACCTAGCTTCATTGATGATATGCATGCTTCCTTAAACCCTTTTTGGGGCCAAGATGGAATCTAAACAAGTCAACACATAAATAGTGTTATTTTCCCCTCAAAATGCCTTTCTCCCCTATTTCCTGTTTGTGGTGACCCTTTCATGAAAGCAGGAGTTAACATTTCCTGAGCACGCACCTCCGGCTCGCACTCTGTGGAGCCCTCAACGTGGTCAACTCCTGAGGCTGCTTCCATCCTGTTACTTTTCAGATGAAGACCCCGAGGCTTGGATGAATGAAGTCACTTGCCGGGGCCACAGAGGCAGGGCTGGAATCCCACCCCCGGGTGGCCTCATGGCTGCCACCTTGAGGAGCCCCTGCTGACTTGGCCTCCTAAGTGTTTTGGGGTTTTTTTTTTTTTTAAGATTTTATTTCTTTCTTTCCAGAGAGAGGGGAAGGGAGGATGAGAGGGAAACATCAATGTGGGGTTGCCTCTCATGCGCCCCCTACTGGGGACCTGGCCTGCAACCCAGGCATGTGCCCTGCTGGGGATCGAACCAGCGACCCTTTGGTTTGCAGGCTGACGCTCAATCCACTGAGCCACCCCAGCCAGGGCCTAAGTGTCTTTTGATTCTGTTCCCCGCTTCTCTATCCTCGGTCCATCCCCTTATTTCAGGGCCTTTTTGATCTGCTGGGGTTTTTGCACTAGCTTCTTAGATCTCTCTGAATCGAGGCCTGGCCTCCGTGAATCTATCCTCTGAGCCTCTGAAATACAAAGGTGTCCACAAGTTCCTGATAGGGCGTCCCAACTGTAAGACAGAGTCCAGTTTCCTGTGTCCACCATGCCGAACCATGACAACCTGTCCTGGTCTAACTAACCAGACACACAGTGAGCAACCCCATGTTCCCCAGACAGTCGGATAGCCTTTACTTCCCAACAAGGGTCACATGCTCACGCCGCAGGGCCCTGCCGTACTGTTTCCTCGCCCCAGCCTGGCAAATGACACGCCTTTCACATTTCAGGTCAAAATGCTGTCTCCATTCTCCAACAGTCTCCGAGTCCTCGAGTCTCCAGCCCTCGCCCATGAGTTTCCCATTTGGTGAGACCTCCTCACCATTTGTCATTTACGTCCTTATTCATTAGTCCATGTCCCTTACTGGACCCAGAGCTCCTGGAGGACAGAGACTGGTGCTGTCCTACCCACCTTGGACCCCCCTCCTTCTCCCCAAGAGGTTGGCACACAGCAGCTACTCGATAGTTATTGAGTGTTCACCCAAGTGGTAGGTCCAAACGAGACCTTTGTACACTGCAGAGGATGGGCCTCCCTACGGCACTTCTGCCCCGACCCCTAGACCAAAGAATATAGGGCCACCACTGATTTGCAGCTTTGGGCAACTTAGAAAAAAGGCCCTCCCCTAGGGTACCCAGCCCAAATGTCACTTGCTCCACGAATGTTTCCCTGAGGGTGGGGGTGGGGCTCTCAGGCAGATTGAGCGCCTCCCTGTGGATGACACGCACATTACATCTCCATTCCTTCCTCACTGCTTGGTCTCACTTCTGGGCTGGGAGGAGGGGAGGTAGGGATCATGTCTTAGCCGCCTCTGAGTCTCAGGTGCCCAGGATCATGCCTTTCACATCCCCAGTGGATATTCAGTAAATGTGTCAGACTGAAGGCCAAGCTCCAATCAAGTTACCCCTCAGATCCCAACCTTCTTAGGGCCTCTCATCAGCCTCCCTATCGGTTCAAACTCCCCAGTCTGGCATCCTAGACACTCAGCGCCGCGGCTCTCTGGTCACCTCCCCACCTCCTCCTGCTCAGGTCGCCTACGCTCATCCAGGCTTCTGAGCTTCTCTTTCCTTTGGGCCGTCACTCACCTGTCCCTCTGCCTACAAAGCCCTCTTCTCCTCTTTGCTTGTCAAAATTCTACCCATCCCTCAAGACCCGTCTCAAATGCCATCTTCACGAAGCATCCCACCCGTGATGTGGCCTCTTGCAGCTGAGATGGAGCGTACTTTGTTCTTCCCAAGTCATTCCTGGAACGGAGCTCTGTGTTGGAACGGTGTGTTTGTAATTCACGTGTTTTGAGGGCAGTGAATTCCAGACTTTAGTCCAGTGAACATAGTAAGTGCACAGTAAATAGGGGCTACATGGAATAGGGAATTGAGCATTATACTTGCACATGGACGAGGCAGCAAACTCATGCCCAAGGAACCAGCAGGAACTCCTCCTCCCTCCCCTTTTTCCTCCGTCCTGCAAAAGGTGAGCTCAGGGAAGAATCGCCCCTCCCTTCCTGCCCCCAGCCAACGGAGTTTGGCTTCCCTTCTAAAGAAGTAAGAGCAAGGTGTGACAGCCGACCTTCCTTTGCTCCACCCCCTCTCTTTTCCCCAAAACAGAGGAGAAATTCACCTCTGGCTGACAGCGTTGTTTTCCAGCTCCCGCGAGGGACAGGACACACGCAGGCACGTGGCGCCCAGCACTCAGCGCACCTCCACACGATGGTGCAGACAGACGCCTCTCTCCCCAACATGGAGCGCCTCACCTCTGCGCCCCCGGCCACCCTGGTCCTCAGCCTGGTCCTCGTTTCCTTCCACTCAGCTTGCTTGGCAGGTGGAACTGTGAGCTTATTCTTGGCCAGTCTGGGAAGGGGAAGGGAGGGGGGAGGGGGGAGGGGGAAGGGAAGGAGGAGGATTCCTTGGCTAGGCTTGGTCTGCACAGAGAGGAGACAAGCCTTTCTCCTCTGAAGGATTAGGCAGAGGGTTGGGGGTGGTGGTGGAGGGTGTCTTTACTCCTGTCCTCAGCTAGGATAGGAGCAGCCACCCGTTGTCCTTTGTCGCCGAGAAAGAGGAGCAATGTACACAGAGCTTCTCCCAGTGGGGGACCAAATCAGCCTAAAATGACAACTTTTGGGTGCTGTTTCTCAGGGGTGCTCTGGGCTGCTGACTTTGCAACACTCCCTTTGCACCCCTTCCCCTCCCCTAAGGTCCTCTGACCCTCCCTTGACCCTGTGCTTTCTTTCAACAATGTTCATAAAACCTTAATGCCTAAAGGCTGCCATGTACTGTCTGATGTTCTCCCACCTCTTGGGGGCAAAGGGAGGTGCCGGTTATTGCCTTGCGGAGGCTGGAGGTGTTGAGGCCGCCCAGTCTGGCTCTCCTAGGCTGGACTCGGAACCTCCTGCAGAGAGACCTCCCTCACTCCCCCGTGCTCCCAACGTTTGCCTTGATCTTGCCCCTCTGCCTCAGTCTGCTTCTCCCCAAACCAATGCTCACCACCCTTCCTTCAGCCTGCACCTGCCTCTCTGACCCTTGCAGACTCTCCTGCAGAGGTCCAGGGAGCGCGGGCTCTCAAAGCCAGGGAGCCTCGGGCGCTGGCTGCGTTGCCTTGAGCAAGTTCCTGTGCCCCAATTTCCTTATTTATAACATGGGGATAATCTTGTGCTTGTACATAGGGTTGTTGAAATAAGATGACTGCAGGAAAATACCTTTAAATAAACTAGCTCAAGGGGAACACTGGGTGACTATTAACATGTTCATTTGTCCAATCTAACTCCTTCCCAAATGAAAGTGATTTGTGTCTGCTTTTCTGTTTACCCTTACAGTGCTTTGTTTAGGATATGGCCTCAAAAAACCTGACAAGTTAAAAAAAAGACAAATTTAACTGCATTGAATAGTCGGGTCTTCCTACCAGCCTTTACTTTGGAAGTGACCCCATATGGGACCAGCCCCTGGCTGGCTCTGCTTAAGAGGATGTTATTTAAATTCTCAGGAACCTATAACTAAGCGAATCAGTGTGAACCATGTAAAACTGCTGAACAATTTTTGACCTACAGAAATGGCAATTTCACATGGTTTCACCTAACGCTAAGCATCCAATTGACTAGGTTTTTTTCCACTCACTTGCTCTAGACGGGAACCACTTCCGCTCTAGGGTAGAGGGGAGGTGAAAGTCAGGGCCAAGAAGTTATTTGGGTTATAAGGGACATTAAAATGTGGAGGAATCAATTTCTCCAAAACAAATAAAGACCCAGCTCTGAGCCATTTGGCTGTAAATAATTTACAGTCACAATCAGATTGCATCAAGGTAATGACTACACTTTAGGCAGGACATTGAAGGACCCTGGGGGTGGGTGGCATAAAATTAGTCTGAGCAGCAATTTTGTGGCTTTGGCTATTTAAGAAGTTTCCTTCTGACTTGTCCTGCTCTGTGACGCGAAGCTCCTTTGAAGGACATGCTGACCCAGAGTCAGTGGGGCCTTGAGAGTTAAACCAGTTTTGTCTTGTGTTTTTAATTCCTAAGAAACAGATTGAACAGCAATATAGTTTCCAGAAAGAGTCTTCAAAATTGGCCTCTTGTTCTTATTCTACCTAGATTACTGTAAGGGGGGGGGGGGGAACGCGGGGACTCGTTGATAGTAGGTCACTTATTCTACCTTGATTAGCGCTAACATTTTTCTCTTCCGGATGGAAATTCTGCGTGTCTGTGCTGGGCTTCCACTATGGTAACCACCGGCCACAGATGGTGACTGAGCTCCAGAAATGTAGCTAATCTGACCAAGGAACTGGATTTTTAATTTAGTTAGTTTAATAAACTTAAATAGCCACCAGCGGCCGTCCTGTGAAACAGTGGACGAAGGTCACCTCTGACCTTACCTTGCTGGGACAAGGAGCGTGGGCACTGGCTTTTCTTCCTTGGAGACCCTCCATTCATCTCCATAACTCACCTCCCCTCCCAAACTTGGATACAACTTCCAGAATTACTGCTGATGTTGCCTTGATCACGGGGATCCGTGCTTCTTAATCAGGGACATTCTTTTTTTTCTTTTTCTTGATTTAATCTTCCTTGTATTTTTTTTTTCCATAACCATTTAGAAGGGACATTCTAAGTGCTGCATATTCTATCAACCTCTAGACTTCCTTGTACAGTATTTATTTATTTTTTTTTTGATAACCATCTGCATGAGTAATACCATTATCTTTGTCAGAAATCAAGACTCAAGGTCAGATTTCAATGTCTATTTGTTCACAGCTTTGAAGGGAAATTGAAGATAGTCCTGAAAAGGCATTCCAGGTTTTTAAATGACTGTGTTACTATATGCCAGAAAATCCATTTTCTATGTCTCCGTCTGTACAGAAAGCAGCTAAAATAGTGTTTGGACCATGAGAGGAAAAGGAAGTGTATGAGTCCGCTCATGCTGCCATAACAAAACACCACACCTCGGGTGGCTTAAACAACAGGACTCTACTTTCTCACAGTTCTGGAGGCTCAAGTTGCCAACAGGGTTGGTTTCTCCTGAAGCCTCCCTCCTTGACATGCAGGTGGCTGCCTTCTCCCTGCGTCCTCACAGTTTTTCCTCTGCGAGTACTTCCCTGGTGTCTTTTTCTTCTATAAGGATGCCCATCATACTGGGTTGGGGCCCACACACATGATCCCATTTCACTTTAGGATTACATCCTTAAAAATCTCATTTCCGCATACAGTCATCACTGGGGGTTAGGACTTCAACCTCTGAATTTGGGGACGGGGAACACAATTCGGTCTATAACAGGGGGTTAGCTTTGCTGCATGACGCCTAGATTGGAACTCCTGTAATACTTTCACAATACTCACTACTGATTTACAGAAGATTCCAAACTCCATGACTGGGAAAGGCTTTCCCTACTGCCTGAGACTCTCTTCTGTCTTTCCTTCCAGAGGCAAGCAGTGGCAACAGCTCAACCTTGACCAACCAGCACCCAGACCCTGAGACTCTGGAACAGTGCCACAGTAAGCTGCTGCCAACTGCCCTCGCCCCAGTGCTGGCCCCGGGGCTGGGAGGGAAGCTGAGGGCTCCTGGCTTTCTGTTCACTGGCATGGGGTGGCTGAGCACCGGCCTGGACTTACTGTCTGCTGGTATGGTTTGCTCCAGCCTCCAGAACTGTTTGCAGAGTATGTCTAAAAGGCCACCTTGACCTTGGCCAACATCAGGGCTCCCAATCTTCGGTGTATATGGCTTTAATGGCCCATCTCTACAACAGCGGCCAAAGTTGCCCTGAGCCCAAAGGCTTGTAGGAGTTTGACAGTGGAAAGACCAGAAAAATCAGCCAGTTCCACCTCTGCCCAAGGCCGGAGCTTTATTTTCATACCTCTTGCATGTTTCTGTTCTTCCTCTACTTGAATACTTCCAGCCACAAGGAGGCTGGTACTTCATAAAGCAACCACTGTTACACGTGTCTAGTTAATAGAAAGTTTGGCTGTGTTCAGGCTTCCTTTACTCTGCCCTCTTTGAATGACCAATTGTGTTCACTTCCAGGGACTTTCAGGAGGGTAATAGGTAAGAATGTGTAGAGGTTAAGAACACGGCTTTGGAGTCCTGCACACTTGGGTTTGAGTTCTAGTTCTGCCATCCCGTGGCCTTGGGCATGTTACAGCCTCAGATTCTTCATGCAAAATGGGAATCGTAACTGTACGTATCACTGAGTGAGGAATAAACAAGGTACCATAGGTAGAGCATTTAGCATAGCACATGGAGTGCTTTAGTAAAGGTTAACTATTGTTGTTATTATTACTGTTCTTGTTGTTCTGAACATGAGGGAAGGGGCGGGGCTGGTGCGATGCTCTCTCCTCCCCCCAGATGTGGACTTCTGCCCGCAAGCATCCCGGTGCTGCCACATCGGCGTGGATGAGTACGGCTGGATCGCCGCCGCTGTTGGCTGGAGTCTCTGGTTCCTCACCCTCATCCTGCTCTGCGTGGATAAACTGATGAAGTTAACTCCAGACGAGCCCAAGGACTTGCAAGCATGAGATGCAGAATGAGCCCTGAGAATGTCACCCCCCACCCACTGGGGGTCACAGCAGGAATGAAGTAGCTCCGATGTGGCTTCTAGTAAGGTCATTCTCACCTCCAAACTTCAGTTACTTTTAAAAGGGAAGAAAGGGTCTTCCAAATAAGGAAAGGCCAGTGCTGCTGATTTCAAGAGGCAGACGTCTGCTCTGAGCCCTGATACTCTGCTTTCTCAAGATAGTCTCTGTGGCAGTTGCTTCTGTTTTAACCGCCACTTTCTTCTGGGCTCTAAGGTGGGTGCACAAGGAACATAAGACTTGGTCTTTTAGTCAACACATTTGAAATTAAACTTATATCCTTCTCACCGAGCACAGGCCATTGTCATCTGTCCCTCATTCAGTCAAGGGCATCACTGTCATTTCAAAACGTAAGCATCACCTCTGACCCCCCCTGTCCAATGCTTCTCCAGCTCTGTCCTTTTCTCAACTCCACCTTCCGTGCCTGTCTTGTCCATCTTCCCTGCGGGCGGCCTCGTCCTGGCCCTCACTACATCATCCCCAGTTTGTTGCAGGGCTATCTCCTTTCATCCTGCCTTCAGGATCTTCCTCCCCAGCTCGCCACTCCCCACGGCAGCTGGCGGACAGCCTGGTCCCGAGCCCTCCCGGTGAGTCCAGCCACCCGACTGCCAGCACAGGGGCGCAGGGCTCTGACAGGCACACCGCCGCTGGGTGCCTCCATGTGTCCGCTGCTCTCCATGGGCGCCTCCCCCGTCCCCACCTCCAGCATGAAGGCCACGGCTCCTCGTCCAGCCCCAAAGCTGCTCTGCCTGGAGCCTTCCAGATCCTCTTAGGGGACTTGGAGCTGGAGCTCTTAGCTGCTCTGCCCTGAGGCGCAGCCATCATGAACGGACCTTCTTCTCACCAGCAGTGAACGGATACTTCCCGGGCACAGTAAGTTCCTTGCAATGTTCATCCAGTGAACAAATGAACGAAGGAGTCCTCGCCCCAGATGAACTTATGACCATCATTTTACATTTTGCTATAAATGGTTAAAATAACCCAACTTCCAAAGAAGCCAGTTGGTTTGATTGCTGTTCTCTCGGTGACTCACTTAGCACAAGGACGTGGCCTGTCACTGTGAAGTGTGCCAGGGGGCCGAGAGGATCGGAGGGTGGGTTCATCAGAAGGAAGAAAGGGCAACATGACTCTGTCTTTATGAAGCACTGTCTGGCCTTGGTTAGGAACCATATATTCAGATTGGATCAACTCTACTAAACAATCAAAATACAAAAAAGTGCAAGGCCTCTGAAATAGGAAGAAATGTGTGCAGAGGTGGAAAATGACTCAAAGCTGCCCAGGGAAATTGGAATAAATTCCCGTGACAACGGGAATGAAAGGGACCTCCTGGCCCACTCTGAACAGCGAACCAGCATCAGGATCTCCGTTGTTAAATCAGCACAATGGGGTGGCTTTATTGTGCCTGAGTGTTCAATAATTACATGAACAGAAGTGTCTGTGTGATGCCTTGTGTGTGCTGGGGACATATACCTGAGCCTGTGTCCCACCTTTTTGGAGATTCAAGGAGTTTCTACAATATGCGATTGCTTAGTTCTTAGCAATCAAAAGATTTGGTGATGAGCACACTTTCATTTCATATCTGCACACATTTTTGAAACAAAACAGTGACATAGTGGGAAGAGCACTAACTCCAAAAAGAAAAGAACAGGAGGCAAATTAAGATCTGTTTCTGGCCAATGAGAACTGAAACGCATCACTGCCTTGCTGAGCATCAACTCTCTGAGTGAAAAATATAAGGCTTGACCCATATCAGTGGTTACAAACTCGTGGAGCTGCCTGAGGTGCTGCGCGGAGTGGGGAGCATGAGGCCCGTCCCTGCAAACAGGGCCCTGAGCTCGATCTCCTTCATGTATCAGGTCCCCGTGGGAAGATTTAATCTGCTGCTTTAAAGAGCAGAGAGTCAGAGCACCAGTTGGTGCCTGAGAACTCCTCCAGTCTGGAGTGGTGTGTAGATTCCTCTTCTTTGTTTTTTTTTTTTTTTTTTTAAATTTCTTGATTGTTTGGTTTTTTGTTTTTTGGTTTTGCTCTTTTTTTTTTTTTTTTAGAGAGAGAGAAACATTGATTTGTTGTTCCACTTATTTATACATTCATTGGTTGAGTCTTGTAAGTGCCCTGACCAGGGATCGAACCCGCAACCTTGGCATATCGGGATGATACTCTAACCAACTGAGCTACTCAGCCAGGGCTAGATTCTTAGACTTCATGCAAGTGAATTTTGGTAGATGCTGCCAATGTCACATTAAAATGTAGGTATCCTATGAACTGCTTTGCGTGCATCTGCCCAAGAGAAAGGCAGGCCAAATCTAAACAAATCCTCTTTTCTTTGAGAGGAAAGAAAGATAGATAATACAATGGCTATGCTTCCCAGATTCTGGGTCTCAGATTTGTTCTCAGCATGGAATCTATTCTAGCAAAGATTTTTCAATAAATTTTAAAAAAACAACAGGTATCAACTTCCAGGCATCTAAGAGCTCCCTGCTATAAAGTAGCAGATCTGTCTAATGGTAGATGTACTTCTTATTAAAAATTCTTGCCTGTAGTAGTCACTGTTGTCCTCACAGTATACGATACAGAGCTCATACTGTTCCAGACATTTCTGTAACAAAATGTCCTATGCAGAAATAGAACCGTGAACATTAAGGTGTGACACAGTTACCTGATTTTTAAAATTATCATTTTTAAGTCTATTCCTTTTTCAATGCCTGATACCAAAGGACAGATAACCCAAAAATAGAATTTTTGATTACGAATGAAATGTACCATGCAAGATTAATTAAAAAATAAGTCATAGGCTAGCTTGGGACTCTTTGCCACAAAAACAAATACAAACATATTTTTAAACTTAGAGAAGTACCAACCTGGAAATGTTTTTGATGAAGGACAGCTCTCTCTGTCTGAACCCTGGCATCTGCTTTGAAGTCACGGGTGTGATTCCGCGGCCTCTGCAGATGGGGTGTAGGCATGCCCTGTCCCACCTGGTACCTACAGCCAGCCTCAAAGGGCCCCAGCCCATCCTCACGCTTCCTTCCAGCGCAACCTTTCTACTACACACATAAGGGAGCAAGTCACTCCTCTACCTAAAATCCCCCAGTGACACCGCAGACAGAGCAAAATCCATATCGTCAATATTTATATTAGGATGACCCAACAAGACCTTCTATAATCAGATCCCCAACATTTCTCTGGCTTTACCTCTCGTATGTCCTGCGAGCAAATGCAGATTTGAGTCACTTCAGCTCCCCAAACATGCCGGGCCGACTCTGTCCACCATGCCTTCCTGCCTGCTGTTCACACAGCCTGCAACATACCTTCCTTCCCACAAGGCAGATTTTCCATGAACCAAGAGGAGCGTAAACTTCGCGTGCCCTTACCTGCCTGCCCCAAACACTCCTACCCGGGCCCTCTACCTAATTTTGTCATTGTTTTTCTTAAGGGAAGACCCTCTGATGGAATGCATTTTAGACCCCATAAACCTGGACTTGCCCTTGCTTTTACCCACTCCCCACCCCCGATCGGATTCATTTGGTTTACTGGGATCCATCTTTCGAGTCAAGCTGTCCTCTCTTCCTGGACAGACACACATGTGCACATGTGCCCACCTCAGCGGCCTGTGCCCCACTCCAGGATAGCACTGCGACAAACGCTGCCCTTAAGCCAGAAAAACTGGCAGCTCCTCTGAGCCCAGTTTTCTACTAAGTTTCAACTTTGGCCGATAAAAGCTACAAACTCTCCGCACAAATGATTTTGACCCCCCGCCCCCCCCCCCACATTAAAAGACTTAAACACTGGCATAGTTTCTAACAACCCAAGGCCACATCTCTAGGCTGACCCCAGGTCCATTGAAGCCGCCTGAGACAGCTCAAGGCTGCCCACAGTGCATAGTATTTGTTCCAATCAATGTCTGGCAACAGGCCCTTGGCCACCCTTCCTTGAAGCATTTACTCATAGTTGTGAATACTCCTCTGTCCATTTGCGATGTCTGCATCTACCTGTCTATCTGTCTGCCTGTCTGCCCATCCATCCCACAACTCAGGACCTGAAAGCCATTCCTTTAAACTGTCCTGAGGAAAGACAGGGCCTCTGTCGCCCAGCCTCTGCGGGCGGACAGCATTGCAGCTTCGCAGACGGCCAGTGAGCAGACCCGAGGGGCCCACCCGGCATCCACACTGACCACCTCTGTCATCTCTCGCCTCCCAGACTCTCCTGAGCCTCCTCCGGCCCTGCCCCTCCCCTTCACTGTCCTTGTAAAACACCCAGTCTTCTCTGTGCAAATCAAAGTTGAGTTCAGTTCACACTGGACCCTCCTCCTGCTGCAATAGTATATTACTGATTAAAATCTGTCCTTAACCAATGTAGTGTCCAGTTTTAATTTGACAACCGAGCACTTTGGACTATTGTATCTCCCTGCCTGGCTTCCTCATTGGTCTCTCTGCGGCCTGGGACTGTGCCTTTAACCTCTGATTCCTTCCACCAGTACCCAGGCATGCAGCAAAACTCAGTAAATTTTTGATGAATTAGGGAATCAGAGCAGGCCCAGGAACATGGCCTGCGCGAAAAACCACAGTGAAGCGACAGAGCTCTGAAGACAAAGGCAGGGGCTCCTGAGAAAACTTGAGGTTTTGAGATTAAAACATTTTTAAATTATTGTTTCTATAAATTTATAATTATACATATTTAAGTCCTTCGTGGAAACAAGTAGCTGGCAGACCTACTCAATGCGCTCATTCTATGATGAGAGACTAAATATACAAATGGACAAGGGCCAGGCCAGATCTATGAATAGAACTTTGACCCACAATCTTCAGTAACCCCTTCAGGAAGCCAACGCACCACCCACAGCAACTTGTCTAGGACGTCCAACTATTCCGTGCAGCAACCAGGCCAGGAGCTGAACAACAGCCTCCATGCAATCAGCCCAAACAGCTAGGATCCGGTGAGCAACTGACAACTTCAGTTCACATAATTGACTTCTGTGCCCACTTCCAACTTGGGGCCAACCGGGGAAAGCCAAAGATGGACCCTAAACCACTCCTGGCACCTGCCTGCAGCTGCTGCTCGCCAGCGGTCTCCAGCCACGGCCCACCTGAAGCCCGAAGCCTAACCCTTCCCCACTGGGAAGCTTCCCCACGCCCCTGCCTGCCTCTGAGCCTCTGCCAAATAGAAACGCTAGTGCTGACTCCTTTCCGACAGCAAGCTCGGAAAAAAACAGCTTTTACGTGTTCTCATTTGAGTGGTCTGTGTTTATTTCCACAGTGACTATTGGTTGAATACTTCATTGAAACATCTGTCCTGTTCTTTGTACCTTGAAAAGGACCTTTCCTTATTTAACCTCGGAGATTCCTGGTACCA